ACTACACATAATAATCGCCCAACACATGGACTAAATGCAATATATAAAAAAGATGCATATACACTAATTTCACACGTGTCTCGGTGTGCAAATTTAACTCGTGTCCACAAGTCATAAAAAAGATGCATATACACTAATTTCACACGTGTCTCGGTGTGCAAATTTAACTCGTGTCCACAAGTCATCTCATATGTAAAAATACATGATGAACAATAGTGTCTCGGTGTGCAAATTTAACTCGTGTCCACAAGTCATCTCATATGTAAAAATACATGATGAACAATAATTTCTAATACCAGATATTCGAGGTGACTCCTCGTTCACATTGAAGCACGCAACAATAGTAAACATACACAAACAGTTTCAGTTAAAGAGAAACAACCCAAACAGATCCAAATCGAGGAAGACTGGAATTTTCCCCATCAGTCGACTCATGAGTCGACTGGGATCATCGGTCGACTCATTGGTCGACTGGTCAGACAGAGAAATAAGGAAAGCTGGAAATTCCCGTCAGTCGACTCATTGGTCGACTCATAAGTCGACTGATAAGTCGACTGGTAGGTCGACTGAGCAGACAAATCTCCAGTTTCTTACATATGATATTATTTGCAAAATAATTATATCCCAAGCATAATATTACACGTTCTAACATATATAAATCAGTTTAAAACAACATTTTAATATGTAAAATCATCACCAAAAATCCGAAACATGTATACACAGGATTTAAACATTTTAAAGACAATAAAACGTAACTTTAATCTCTTATTAAAGTGGTTTAAGATCTAGATCTCTGTATTAAAAATCGTTGGTGAGATTTTTATAAACTAAAAATTTGATTTCTCGCATCATATGCCATAATGATCTACTTTTATACACAAAATAATAATTTAGGCTCAAAACATCCGAAATAAAAGTCAACAAAATCATACAAACAGTGGGTATTAGGCTGGGCGAGATGTTACTCGCCTCTGACGTGCTGTAAAACTCTTGAACCCTTAAGGAATTGATCCTCCTTCGATAGCACCAGAAAATCCTGCTGCAAATCCTCCGAAAATTTCCTAAAAATCTCCAACAACGAAGCTAGGGTTTGAGGGAAGAGAGAGGGGCTAGGGTTTCTCTGAGATCTGATGGAATTGGGGTTAGTTTTGGGTAAAAGAATATATATATAATACGGTTAAAACCCGAACAAAACCCAACCAAACCCGCAACTGAAAAAAAACCCGAAAACAGTCCGTGAGTCAACTCATAGGTCGACTCATCAGTCGACTCATTAGTCGACTGATAAGTCGACCGAGCAGATAATATCCAACTTCGTGCATGTCTTGTTTATCTGCAAACACCCATGCACAAAACTCTACACACATACACTCATACATCTCTAATAGCATGTTATCAAGTGTATCCATGACCTCAAGCTATTTATCACAATAAAAATTATTTACCACCAAAAATTCACATATCTTCATAACAAAAATACGGGGTTTTACAGACAAGTAGGCGCAGGTTGGCTCGAACGACGTGGGCGGGTCTGGCTGCGGGCGCTGCGGGTGTGCAAGTGGATGCGCAGCGCGTCGTGGAGGGAGCACGGGATCAGGGTAGGCGAGCTAGGGTTTGGAGAATGAGGGGAAAGGGAGAGAGGTTGAGAATGAGAAATGAGTAGAGGCTAGGGTTTGGTTTGAGATAATGTTTGGGATATTTCAATGTTAGCCCCTTAAAGCTTTAATATTTTCAAATTAGTCCACTAAATCATAGAAATTGCTAATGCGACCCTCAAATCTAACTATTATTACCAATTTTCCTTTTACATCCTTGACCCTAGAGTTAATGTTTGGATTATTTCAATATTAGTCCCTCAAATCTTCAATATTTCCAAATTAGTCCCTCAAATCTTCAATATTTCAAAATTATTCACTCAAATCATGGAAATTTCTGTTACATCCCTCAAATCATCTCAATATTTACAATTAGATCCTCTAGTTAACACTAGTTATATATGAAGAAATATTCCTTTAAATATAACTATTATTACCAGTTTTCATTGACTTTTATTTATAAGAAACTACACCCGTTAAAAATCCAACCTGTTTGGACCTAGTTGACCCGTTAAAACGTGAAAACCCAAATCTATTAAAAACTTCTTTTTTCCAACATATATTATCTTCATTCTAACTCAATTTCAATGACTCTTTCTCCTCTTAACCTTATAAAATCTTCAAGAGACCATTATCCAAACTATTTTCATCCGTTTCTTTAGTAATTAAATCTCATTTAACTCCTCCCAAATTCATTAATGATGTTTGCAGTCTCAAGTTCATCTGTAAATGAAGCCAAGAGTAGTGGATGTCATCTACTCTGCCACCATAAAGATTAAAAGAAAAATAAATTTTAAAAGTAACATAGAATTCCTAATTAATTGAAAAGGCTATGATAATTTCTGGTATATCATTAGCAAAATCAATATTGTTACATTTCGTAACACGTATAACTAAAATGATCTCCTCATTGGTCTCTGACTATTTTATCACATTTTCACTTTTCTCATCATTTTCTCTAAACTAATCAAAGTCAAAGTCAAAAGCTCACGAATACTTATCGAATATCAAAGTATATTTATTCCGCTAAAGAATTTAATTTTCAAGTAGTATTCAAATTCATAAATAAAAATTATTCCTTTATACTAAATGATGTGTATATATCTAAATCAAAATTTAATTAGAAAACATATTTAAGATTATTTAAATCTTCAAATAGGTATATAAAACTTAAGTAGAAATGATAAGTGGTTAAAAATACAACATCATATATGCAATAATACAAATAATAACCTATGATCAATTTTAAATGAATATTTAATAGATAAATGAATCAAATATACATCTGGTCAAATTCTAATCGTTAGAAAACATGAATACTAAAAAATATTTATTTAGTGTTAAATGAACTACTGAATCTAATATGATTAATAGTTATTTGAACAAATATCGAACTATTTGTTAATTATTTGGTTCATTTCCACCCATAGAGGTGTTAGCAATTTCCATAATTTGGTGGACTACTTTTGAATTAATAAAGATTTGAGGGACTATATTAAAATAACGCTTAATTTTTTTTGTGGGGGCCACTCATTAGCATCATTAGCAACGGGATAATCAGTCACTAAGGTGCATTGGCGACGGGCACTGACTCGTCGCTAATGTGCATTGGCGATGGAATAAAGCTGTCGCCAATGCTCATTGGCGACGGTGGCGTACCCCGTTGCCAATACTTATTGGCGACGGGTGCGGGCCGTCGCCAATGTTTTCCCGACACCCTTCGCCAAACGTTAGCGACGAGACTGCTCCTGTTGCCAATGTTCATATTGGTGACATATCCGTAGCTAATACCCCATCACCAATGCCCTCTTTTGTTACTATTGGTAGTTATGGTTGAGAAGCCCACCGCCATCAAAGCCATCGTGTTCTTATCCGAGGTCAAGTGTGAGTTCTCCCATAGGGCAAATGATCCAATCTCAACATCTAGCACAACTAATTATAGCAAAACCACGCGTTGGCCATACAAATGCTCAAAATAAAGGTGGGCACCGATCAACACTAGCCATCCTGCAGATGCACAACTTAGCGGAGACATGACGTTAGTTCCCGTAGAGTTTCTAGCTTGTCGAGAGGCAGTCACCACTCAGATGCCACTAAACCCAGCATGACAAGGGGTTTAAAACTCCACGTAGCCGCACAATTTTCACCAACAACTACTAATACATTCAAAAACTAAGAATGACATCTCATAGCATCAAATTGTACGAGAAAAAGGGGCATCATAGGACTAGAAAGAGGGAAAAAGCTAAGATGACCTTGGATTCACAAAGGATCAAGATGCATGCGTGGTTAGGACTGGAAATAGGAAGATCATCAGCCCCGTGGGGAGTTAGAAGTCCGCAATCAATCACTGATTTTCAGGACTATCTAAAAGTGAAGCACCGATTATAATTAATATAAAACTATAATCCTTGATCCTCATTATAATTTTAGAGTTTTGTGTAATGGTTAAAGAACTTAATTTAAGATAGCATCAGAGCAATCAATGTTCAGATCCTAGCTAGCATCCACAAATTTAAAAGGAATTTTCTTAAATATTGACAATGTTGCGTGAGTCCATATTTTAGCTTATAAAAATGATGTTTAACCTGTCGCATGTTAGAATTAATATAAAATAATTAATATAAAACTATAATCATTGATGCTCACCATAACGTTCAATGTTATATTTAGAGGGACTTGATTTCAAAGCCTCCACGATCTCCTATTAATGGAATAGAAATCATCAGTCGGCCCCCAACGATTGAAGGGACAACAATAGTTGCTCCCCAACATTGCTAAGGTCATGTCATAACAATCGGACGCATCCAGTATTACATCATATGCTCCAATGCTGGTGGTTTGATGTAGTCTCCATTGCTGCATCTGATAGAAAGTCAATGCCCAAGAGCATTAGTCTTCAAACGATTATCATGGGTCTCACTTGAACCTAACAAAAGAGGAGACGACAGAAAATGTGGCATCGAAATCAGGAATGAAGAGAAGCTGAAGTTTGCTCATGTCCACATAATATATCAATGACACAAAGCCAGCCATACCAATGGTGGGCAAAAGGAGGTTAACTCGAACTAATTTCTAGAGTACTACGAAGGACCTAGGAAAGGAGGTTAACATGGCAAGACCTCAAGAAGGAGAGAGTTCGAAATGTAAGGATCCCACATTGAATGACTCAAATGACACCTCTGAACAGTTGTCCATGCATCCATAAGAAGTTGTCCAAGCATCCGTAAGGAATTAACCTCTAGGTATTGATGCAGAAAAACCTAAGTCAAGCAATAACATGATGGAATATATGTAGCAGTAGATGCAAATATTGGCAGATGCTCAAAAGCAAATCACTGCTTAACAAATCATAATACCAAGATTAGTGAAGAGATTGCCGATTTCCATCAAGGATCGTGACTCATGTGGGAGATGATTAACCTTGAGGAAATAGCAGATCCACCAGAGGTTAACCACAATGCCACATTGGAGGTGCCACTATCGAACTTGGAGCAAGCTAGGGTACACAACCTCATAGTGAACAGGTCGATCATCAACAGGAGCACACTAACCAACTACCATAGTGCACTTTCCATTACCACTCTTATAGCTTAAGTGAGAGCTAAAGTAGAGGCAGTTTCCAGGAACTAAAGAGAGTAGAGCGATGGGACTGTCAGGCACAAGAAAATTGTGGTAAGAGAAAGAATTATTCAGGAAATCGTTCAAACCACATTTAATCCTTTCCTCCTCATTTTTCTCCTACTCTTTTGCATCATCGTCTTATCCTTGCATATCTTTACATATTATATACTAGCTGCTATCACAAACTTGTTTCAGTAGTTCCAACCATGTCTTTCTAAGTGTCTATATTTTGTATTAATAGCTCTGCATGTATTATGCTTTATCTATAAAGTGTCATGCGTTTTGATGAACATTATGTTCTTTGCATATATCCTTACACTGACATTGCAGGTATCCATGAACTTCCCTATTGTTGCTATCTTTTTATAATTATAAAGGGGGATAGAAAGTGGAATTAATTGTTGGAATAATCATGACGTGGCTACGTCCGAGTCACGCGTGCAGGGGATGCAAGCTGGGCCGAGAGAAGCGGTCAATCAACTGCACAGTTGGTTGCGGGATTCACGAGTTGGTTGCGGGATTCATCTTATCTTTAGGATAATTTGTTTTTGAGTCTGTTACTTTGTTTACTTATTTAAGCACGTGTTTGGTTGTTTCAGATTAGTATGCAATCAATAAAATATTCTCAAACTCCCTCTGTGCCTTTGTTAAACCGAGTTATCTCAGTTTGTTCCAGAGTGTTATCCAGCTTCATCACGTGGTATCAGAGCAGGGACTGTGTCACACTAAGACAGTCGGCCTATGCCAAGAAGGTAGTAATGCAATTCGGGATGAGCGAATGCAACCCGACAAAATACCCCATGGAACCAAAGCTGCAACTCGGAAAGGATGTTAATGGAACATTGGTGAATCCAACGGAATACAGGCGCGTCATCGGATGCTTGAGGTACTTGACTCACACCCGTCCGGATCTCTCTTATTCCGTCGGGTTGGTGAGTCGGTATATGGAGAGGCCTACTACCATGCATCACCAGGCGGTCAAGCAAATCCTAAGGTATGTGAAGGGAACCATTAGCTATGGGCTTGTGTATGGAAAAGGACATGAAGTTGAGGAGTTGGTCGGATTTACTGATAGCAATGTAGCCGGGGATGTCGATGACAGAAGAAGTACTAGTGGCATGCATTCTACCTCGGCGAGAATCTGATCACTCAGAAGCAGAGAACTGTGGCATTATCCTCATGTGAAGCCGAGTTCATGGCAGCAACTGTAGCAGCTTGTCAGGGACTGTGGCTGAGGAGTTTGATCAGCGAGGTGACAGGTTGTAAGCCCAAGCCAGTCACTCTTTACGTCGACAACAAGTCTGTAATAGCTTTAATGAAGAATCCAGTGTTCCATGGACGCAGTAAGAACATCGATACTCGTTTCCACTTCATCCGAGAGTGCGTGGAAAAGGAACTGATCGTTGTCAAGCATGTGAGTACTGAAGAACAACGTGCTGATATTCTGACTAAGGCACTTGCTAGAATCAAATTCAAGGAGATGTGCGAGCAGATTGGCGTCAAAGATCTGACTTCCCCACGTCAAGATTAGGGGGGAGCATGTTGGAATAATCATGACGTGGCTACGTCTGAGTCACGCGTGCAGGGGATGCAAGCCGGGCCGAGAGAAGCGGTCAATCAACTGCACAGTTGGTTGCGGGATTCACGAGTTGGTTGCGGGATTCATCTTATCTTTAGGATAATTTGTTTTTGAGTCTGTTACTTTGTTTACTTATTTAAGCAAGTGTTTGGTTGTTTCAGATTAGTATTCAATCAATAAAATATTCTCAAACTCCCTTTGTGCCTTTGTTAAACTGAGTTATCTCAGTTTGTTCCAGAGTGTTATCCAGCTTCATCATTAATTGGATCATATAATATGGTTACTGATTGTTATGATTGTTATACTATAGTTGCTTAGGATATATCTTAATTTTGCAAGAAATTTCCCAGCTATTTTTGTGGAACTTCACATACACATAGATACGAGTAGCTTACTCAAATCATCCAAGCATCATCACAAGGTAACAATGTTCTATCTTTTGAAATAATCCATAATTATTATTTTTTATCCAAATCAATTTACTTATTATTATAAAAAGGGGGGGATTGTGAATCCGATGTTTTGACAAATGTAACTAAATTAATATATACTTTTTAAGTGTTGTGGGATGATAAACGATGCTCATGTGCCATACAATGCAAAATTAAAAATAGAGCATATTGACAGGGAAATAATGCAAGTGAAGCTAGCATTGCAAGCAGACAAGCAAAGTGTTATCTAAGTTCAAGGCCAAGAGGACTTACAGAGTGCTTTATAATTTCAGGTGGATTAGAAGCTGACGAAGTCTTTGTGTGTTGGGTCTTAGGTAAAAAATTTAAAGTTTTCTAATAGTAATGTAAGACAAGACTACATGGCACTAATTATTTACTCTGTTGACTGTACTTTCCCTTTGAAACTTCCCGTCAGTCTTCCCATGGATTCCACATAATCTTTCTTTTTTTTTTGTCAATGAAAATAAACTTTATTCATCAAATCAAGTATGAACGTTTTTGTACATCACAAACACCAGAAAAATAACTGGCAGTATACAAGAAGAAAAAAGTTACATTCTTTCAAGCTTTTCCTTCATTTGAAGAGGAAGATTGTCATTCAAAATTTTTGAATAAATGGAGATTTTGATTGCACGGAAGACCTTTTCAGGCTTCCTAGCTTTGCACTGAAAAATTCTTATGTTCCTCTCTTGCCAAATCATATAAATTGTTGCCGAGAAGACCAATCTTTTTAGTTTGTGCATAAAAAGATCTTTTCATCAATCATAATCTTTCTGTGATCTTTCCATTGCCCTTTCATAGGTCCCTCATAGATCTTCCCAAGATCTTATCATCAATCTTCCTATTGACAATCTAGATAGCCACAATTGTTGACAAAATCAGCTTGGTCACATGTAACAAGTGGCTTGAGTTATTTTAATAAAAAGAAATAATAGGGGCACACCCTTGGACACACCACAAACCACACTCCCCCTCTATCTACAGTGCAGGGGCCCCACATGTGATTTTTTAAAAAAAATCACATGTGGGGCCCCTGCACTGTAGATAGAGGGGGAGTGTGGTTGGTGGTGTGCCCAAGGGTGTGTCCCTAACACCCCTCTTTAATAAAAGAACTGTAAAACCACATGTTCTCTACAGTCTTGTATTAAAAGTAACTAATGTATGATAGTTTCTTTATGCCCATAACTTACCTTATCGCATGGAACCTATATTATAAGTTTCAAGTTGGCTTTTCTATAGCAGAACTTACAAAGGATAAAATAATTCATGTCCCCTTGATTTATTTATTATATTCCTTTTTCATCAATCCGCAAAGTTCCCAATTTAATATTCCCTCTTGTTATGTGTTGTTTATTCATACATAATATTATATTCAAGGGAATCCTAGACTTTTGCTCTCTCTCGTTCGCTCAATTTTTTAACCCTTAGATTTTTAATCTATGGAATTGTTTATTCCTAAGAGAGAATCATTCCATGTGAACACAAGGAATTTCATGAGAAAACTTATCTTGCTTCAAGTGTTTCCATATGATAATCACATTTTTATTACATTTTTATACCCGTATTATCTATTTTATTTAAATAAAAATATCACTAATAAATATATTTTTCTTAATTACAGGTTAATGAATTAAAACCCAAAAGAACTCAACATCTCATCTATTAAAAAGCCCAAGAAGTCCAAGCCCATACACACAAGAGAAGATTGGCCGAAGAACAAGATGACTGAGTATCGATACCCGTATTGATGTCAAGTTTATTATTACAAATTAAATGCTGAAATTGATTAACTTGGGAATCAAGTTTAATCTAAGGGTTGATATTGGCTGTAATACTCCATAAATAGGGGTATAAAGTGAGAGGTTTGAGTGTGAAATATTTTGTAAAAACTTCTTTTTGGAGAGGAGGGTTACTCTTAATTGAGAAGACCTTTTAAATTATAACTTTTTATTGTAATTAATAAAGAAATATTTTCACATCTTCATATTTTTCTTTTCTTCTCTTTGTTTGATTATGAAGATGAATGTGAGATGAAGATGAAGATGAAGATGAATCTTTGCTATCACCTTGAGGCTAGAACCCTCTTAGTGTAAATTTTCTCTTTGTTAACAAATTTATCTTTTGCTTTCTTTTCTTGTTTAAATAGCTAAGAGGTTAGAACCCTCTTGCCTTAGATTTATTTTTATGCTTGCAGAGTATATTTACCTCATTGCTTTAAATTCTTGCATTTACTTTGTAGTTTAGATTTTTACAATTTATTTTATAGTTTAGATTTTTGCGATTTATATTGAAGTCTAAATTTTATTTTCTTGCACTATTCGCCTTAAGGCTAGAACCCTCTTGGGATTAGTTTTTATTTTTATTTATTTTTCTTTTCTTTGATTCGCCTTGAAGTAAGAACCCTCTAGGGAATTGCCCTTTTTTTTTAAGATATGGAACTAATACTTATGAGAACTCTAGAAATTGCATGAAACTAGCTAGTGGATTCAATTCTAGATTCCTTATATATCTAATTGAATCCTTCTTCTTTTACTTTCTTTATTTTCCTCTATATTCTTGGTTTTTCTCTCATTTGTTTCTTGATTTTATTTTATTCATCTTTCTTTCTTCCCTTTTGTTAGTTTTGTTTACATTTATACTTTATCACATCCCCTCTTTATCTCTCCACTCTCAATCTCGTTTTGTTTTTATTTATATACAATCACTCTCAATCTCTCTATCTCTCCATAATTACATCCATCACTTCTAATTGTCACACACACAACATAAGAACCAATTTTGATTTTCTCTTACGAACACCTTCCTCGTGGGATCGATAACTTTTTATAATATAACTTGATGGTTGTGCACTTGCAACTTTAGATGTATACTTTTATGCCCCATCACCATATATTGTCCGCCAAACTTGCACAAGTTCATCAAAATATCCCGTAAGTGTTTGTCTCAAGAACCATGCATCCCTTGGCTATTTATAGCCATAGTGTTTCCTTGTCCAACTCATTCTAACGACCATGAAGTTAAAGAGCCATTGCCTAAGCCCATTATTATCCTATCCTCCAAAGCAATCCCTCTTAGCTAAAATCATAAGTTCCACTAAATCACATCTTACTTTAAGCTTAGTAAGATATTAGAACCTCAATTGTAATTGGAGTGAGCTCGCTGTTGAGTGAAAATTTATTCTGATATCACATTTGAGAAAACCCCAATAATTTCTTTTATAAAAGAAGTGTAAAGAGCGGTGAAGTGCTGCTAGCTTGACGATGTCAAGCGAGGTTGTGGCTGCTAGCTTTAGGATGTCAAGCGAGGTAGTGGGTGTATTGTAACCTGAGAACTGGATGTAGCCAAATTAATAAGGTGAACCACCTTATATATCTCACACATACTCTTTGCACTGATTGCTTCATCTCTATATATCCCTAAAGTTCCCTAGAACATTTCTACTCTATTCTCAGATCTATCTCATAGTAAAACTCACACGCCTCATTTGGTACGCATGAATGGAGTCAAGTGAGAATGGAATGAATGTAGAAATAAAATGGATTTAATGTAGGAATGGAATGCTCATTCTAATTCTCATGTTTAGGTGCGATTATAGAATTAAGTAAGAATATCTTTAAGAAGGGTATATCAGGATTTTATTTTATTATTTTCATTCTCACTTAAGTAGAAACATCAATTCCTTGGTAACTCGTTGGGAATAGCAATTCCCACATTAAGTGGGAGTTGATGAAAAGTGATAATGACATTTCTAGTATCCAAAAACACATTATATTTGGTAAGCATGAATAAGAAGTTGTAATAGCATTTCATTACCACTCATTCCCGCTGTAAGCATCAAAAATTGCCTATAGGTTCCTAAACACAACTCAAGACGAAGAGAAGATGAAGGACATCATCATCCAAGTCAGAGAAGATCATCCGATGCCAAAAAGAAGCAAAGGAAGCGCGCGAAATGACGAAACGACACGTGACGAGGCTGTCTCACAAACGGGTGAGACAGCCTGAACTGACTCAAAATTCAAGACACCTCAAGGTGTCTCAGAATCCGAGACACTTTATTGTGTCTCGCACATAGTGCCGAGACACACCAATGTGTCTCGCGTGTAGTGCCTCC